GAATTACGATCGTCGTGCACTCGCTATTGAGAATCAGGAGTTGGTTGCCAACATGACTGATGAGCAGCGCAATGTTTATGACTCGATAATGGACTCTGTTTACCGTACCTACGGCCGCATGTTTTTCGTTTATGGTTACGGCGGTACCGGAAAAACGTATGTCTGGAGGGCGTTGTCTTCTGCTTTGAGATCCAAAGGTGAAATTGTGTTGAACGTTGCATCGAGCGGTATTGCATCACTTTTGCTTCCCGGCGGACGCACTGCGCATTCACGATTCAAAATCCCACTAAACCCAATGGAAGGCTCTACATGCGATATTAGCCAGCAGAGTCCTTTGGCCGAACTGATCATACGATGTCGGTTGATCATTTGGGATGAAGCCCCGATGATGAACAAATATTGCTTCCAGGCGGTTGACAGCACCTTGCGAGCATTAATGGAAGCAGTTGATCCATCGAGGAAAAATTCCCATTTGGCGGCAAGTGTGTTGTGTTAGGTGGGGATTTCAGACAGATACTCCCTGTTGTCTCTAAAGGCAGTCGAAACGACATAGTTAATGCGACCGTCAATTCATCCAAGTTGTGGCGCGATTGTATCGTTCTGAGACTTACTCGCAATATGAGGCTTCGAAGCCTTGGTGGGGGCGATGAGTACGATGAGTTGAGGAACTCCTCTGAGTGGCTTGCAAACATCGGCGACAGTACAGTCGGTGGATCGAACGACGGTTTTGCCGGTATCGACATCCCCGACGATATTCTTCTACACTCACAAGGGGATCCTATTGGTACTATTGTTGAGAGTACCTACCCCATGTTCAGGAGTGCAGGTGACGATCTTAGCTATCTGAAGGACAGAGCCATACTCGCTCCCACACTTGATGTAGTTGAGTCCATTAACGAGTACATGAGCTTACTGAACTCATCCGAGGGAAGGACTTACTTGAGTTTAGACACCCCGTGCAAGTCAGATGCTGGATATGATTCTCTTCAGGATCTTCACACTCCTGAGTTTCTCAATGGGATCAAGTGCTCTGGCCTTCCGAATCATAAACTCACCTTAAGGTCGGCACTCCAGTGATGCTTCTCAGAAACATTGATCACTCTATGGGGTTATGCAACGGTAATGTTCATCAAAATTCAATTTGTCATCTACATTTTCTTTTATCTTTGTACAAATTTGACTGATATGCTTTTGTTTTCCGAGTTTTGATGTCAACAGGTACACGGTTGGTTATCACTAAGCTCAGCATCCATGTCCTCGAATGCAGGATTTTAATCGGTGCCAGAGCTGGGGACAAGGTTCTTATTCCTAGGCTCACAATCATACCATCCGATTTGAGGGTACCGTTCAAATTTCAGCGCAGATAATTTCCGCTCATGGTTTCATATGCTATGACTATCAACAAGAGTCAAGGCCAGTCACTGTCCCACGTCGGATTACTATTGAAGAACCTTGTATTCAGTCATGGACAGTTGTATGTGGCACTATCTAGAGTCACGAATCGGAGGGGTCTGAAGATAATGATTTGTGGTGATGAAGATTTTGACGATAGAAAAACCACGAACGTTGTATATAAAGAAGTGTTTAATAATATTTAGATTTAGATTTTATTGCTTAACTTTATTCTTAACGATCATGTTATGATTTTTGCAATTGTTTTCTTCTTTCACGGGTCAAAAACTAGTTGTGTTAAGTATCAATATAAAATTTTACTTAAGGCTCTGTTTGTTTTGAGGGATTTAAAATCGCTTGATTTCAAAATATATGAAATATAAATTTTTTTACTTGTACACTCCTTGAATGAATGTGTTGAAAATATTATAAATAAATTGTCTAGCTCGCACCGATGGCGTTGACTCGCGGTGGTGATGAACCTAAATGATCGCGGACGACGTGGTCGTCAACAGTGAATTTCAAATGACTAGGTTTGAGGAGTCATTTCAAATCCTTCAAAATAATGACTAAAAAACATTTAGCATAAATTTGAAATCCGCCAACTTCCATTATCATCCCAACATGCATGAGCATTTGAACTTGTAAATTTGGAATCTATGTATTTTAAATCCCTCAGTAAATCCCTCAAAACAAATGGAGCCTAAGAGAATTATGAAACATAAAACTTTATAATGTTGAAAATTAAAATTTGAGTACAGATTTTTTCTAACTATCACATTTATCATACTTTGTTTAATAAAAATTAGTCACTTAGAATATTAAATGTTTTTTAGTATAAAATTTATAATTTTAATTTCAGTCATTAACTTATTAAACAAGTGTAAGAATTGATAAAACAACAACAAAGAAATAATAAAACTAAACAAAAAGAGATTGAGGAAAAGCAAATAATTGTCATGGCCCTCTCAACTAGTGGGCAAATCACTCTCACGCCAAAATGGTATTGTTCTATTCACGCGCATGAAAAAAAATATGTCCCCAATTTTGTGAACCCAAGTTGCTTTCTTTAGAGGTACACAAAAAAAAAATAAAAAAAAAATTGCTTTCTTTAGCACTTTTAAAATAAATAAATAAATAAATAAATAAGGGCTTGATTGTTTATGAAATAATTTACTCAACTTTATTTCATAGTCAACTTTAACTCTACACCACTATCTTTAATATTATTTATATAATTAAATAATACAAATCAATCATTCTTATACATCACATCAACTTTAATTCACTATTCATCTACTCACATAATTTTAACTACCTATCATTTCCAATCATTAATTTACTACTATCATATCAAATCAATTTTAATTATTTTATTTTAAATATTATTTTAATTAATTCTTAAAATTCCACTAACAACTACCTATACCACATTTTTCAAAATTAACTATGGTTAACCAAAATAACTCATTTTGAACAAATTATTTCATAAACAATCAAGCCCTAAGGTTTGCCAAAGGTTTAAAAAAGAATGCCGATTTATGTTTATAAACCTTAAAGTTGTCTTCTTTAGTGGAAAAGCTAAGGTTTGTAAATCCGTATTAAAGATGCTTAAAATGGTTAATTTTACCGTCAAAATATTGTGGGAGTACTTGAATACAAATATATGCGCTCAAAGTTGTTTGAGAAAAATACGTCGAATTTCCATGAAGTCGGATCTATAAAAGTGAAATAAAAGTGAAAAATTGGATACACCAAATTGATGATGGAGTTCGGCCAATAATGCCTACGTCTCCGGACTACTGCAAATATTTTAGTAGGAGAAAAGAAATGCACTCGTATTTACAAAACACTCTCAACTCACTCACATCTCACAACCCAAATACACACAGAAGCTAAAATATTCTGCTTCTTATTCACTCTCTTCTTTTTAGTTGATGTATCTAATGCCCTCATTTGCTTTCTATTTAGAGATGCAAAAATGCATCAAATTTCAAAGAAAGGTGGCTGCTCTATTTATTGTTGCTCTATTTTTCAACATTGGTGGCTACTCCATTTTTAACATTGGAGACATTGGTGGCTAGTCACTTTTCAACAATCTCCCACTTGAGGACTGATTTCAACCTGTCCTCACACCTTGATTACTGCAGAAGTCGTCCCAGATATGTTATTCTAGCAAGCCAACTGAAGTTGAGCACAACTTCAAATGAAATGATAACGTATATCATTTGATGATTTTGAAATATATTCATATTTGCAACATTTTTGCAGTTCAATAAAATTATTTTGTTGCAAGCATGTTAGCGAGCCACAAGTTTTTAGACTCTATTTGTAGTATCTTTGGAAATATCAGCTTCAGTCAAGTGCTAAGTACATATGTTTGCCTATGGTGATAGGTACGTCTATGCTGGAAATCTTTCAGTATGTTGAGGATGCAGTGAGACAGAGAACTCAGAGTTAGAAAAATCATTTTTTTGAGTCCAGCAAGGAAGGAGGTTTTGTTGAAGTCAGAGGTGTGTTCCATGCCATTATATGTGATGTCTTATTTCAAGCTTCCAGTGGGAGTTAAGGCTGTGAAGACTTTGTCTGCAAATTTATGGTGGTGCTTCAGAAATGAAGGAAGAAGTAAACTGCATTGGATAAATTGGAAGGAGATGTCGGAGTTAAAAAAAAAAAAAAANTAAAAAAAAAAAAAAAAAAGATTGGGTTTTTGGAATTTAAGGGTATTTAATGATGCATTATTAGTAGATCAACTCTGGAGGATGCAAAGCAAACTTGAAACTCTAATGTGTAGAGTGTTGTATGCTAGATACAAACCAGGGGGTGACTGAGGGAAGTTACCAGTGAAAGAGAACCAATTTTGGCTTTGGAAATGTTGGGCAAAGGCAGGGAAATAATTGGAGATGGGGATTGTTAGTGTATATACTGAAAACTTTGTTATTGATGTTATTTACACTATTTCCGTTGAATGAGAATCGTGTTTTATTAAACAAGTTCTATGTTATGTTGTTTTGCATGTAGATAAAATGGTTCATCACGGATGGACAAAAAGTCATTTTATCAGTTACTTGCGAAACTTAAATAACTAGTTCACAACCTAGATGGAAGTATACAAACCGTCGTAATGTCAACTGTACAAGTGGTCATAACTGATTAGTTGCACAATTACACTTGTGTATTGAACAGATCTAAGAGAGGAGTAGTGCGTTTTATGTTGATCGTCGTAAACGAACTATGTCTCGGTTTATTACTGTGTTCTCTTAACCCGTAAGATATAAACAAACATATGTATATAGTAGACACTGCTGTGATTCACCAAAAGGTGAGGTTCATTATGTCGATGTGTTCTACTGTCAAGCAAAGATGACATTAAAGATGAGAGCCGCCATAGAATATTTACCACTTTGTTGCCGATGCAGGACTGTTCCGCATCCAAGTTCGTCGAGCTCAAATGTGTTTTGAGAATTTGGGGATTATGATAAACAAATGAAGGAGACTTATGTAATTTCACACAATAATTTAAATTGGGTAGTTTTTATCACACCTCTCCCAGTATATAAATTTATACCATTTGTAAAGGATATCATGAGATTGAGTCTCGAGCCTAGATTTGTCATGAACAAACATGTGATAATCGGGTGATAAGTTGCCTAATCCTGTTTCATTTCTCCAAACAAACACGACCTTAGTTTGTCAACAAGGCATTTGGTACTCCGTACTCGGATCCGTGTGGGCAACCCGATTAACTCATCCTTGTATCATGAGCCGAACGCCACCGGCGACTGTCAGAAATAAATTCAGTCCGCCGCAGGCCTAAATCCGCACTCGCAGTTCGATTACAATGAAGTACTGAAGCCAAACAACCAAAAGGAAGACAACCCCTTTAATGGAGGCCGCGAATTCGAGTGCAATCGCTCCCACTCGTTTCCCCACACACCATACATCCACGGACATCCTCCCCCAAGCTCGTATCCTCTGCGATATCATCGCCACCGCCCCCGTCCACGAAGTCGAGGCTCGCCTGGGCGCCGCCCTCATCCCGCCCGAGCCCGAAATCGTCCAGCAAGTCCTGAAGCACTCATACAACACCCCCTCCGCCGCTGCCAAGTTCTTCCGGTGGGCGGGTCTGTCTGCTAAGCACACGGCGTACTCCTGGAACCTCATGGTGGACTTGCTGGGGAAGAACAACCTCTTCGAGCCTATGTGGGACGCAATCCGGTCCATGAAGAAAGAGGGTTTGCTCACGCTGACCACGTTCGTCTCAGTTTTTGAGAACTACTGCATCGCCAGGAGGTTTGACGAGGCTATTATGACTTTCGATGTCATGGAGAGGTAAGGAGAATTACAGCTCAGTTGCATCTCTATTTTGAGCTATTTTGCCTTTTACATAACTAAGGGGTTTATGGTGTTGTAATTTTGTTACCTTTTGTTTTCCCAAGTGGTTGTAGTGAGTATGTTTGGTTTTGTTAATGCAAAAAATACAATGCTGAGAATGAATCACAGGTATTAGGAGCTATAAGAAGAATTGGGCAGTTTAGAAAGAAAGGGATATAATGGTGGCGTATGAGCGAAGTCACAAACTGATGAACCTATTCATGAAACTCTATCTATTGGAGACGGTCTATATCTATGAGCTTGAAATATGTAGATGAATGGATGAGTATATGTCGCGCTGGGGTTTTGTACTCAGTCCTGTAATTTACCATCAAAATGTGCTTTGAGTTTGAACAAGATAAAACATTGTTAAATTTTACCGTTTGACTCAAATGGGTTTAGTTACGTTCCGAATGCATGCTAAACAGGACCCTTTTTCTCTTTTTGGGCGCGGACAAAACTGATGGCTTAATAGACAAGTCCTGTGTCCATGCATTGCCTCCTCCGCATTAATCGTGGCCTTAAAATTGAGAGAGTGGAATACAAGGTGCAGCTTGATAGTAAGAGGTCCACAGCTGGGTTAATGTGAGTCATTTGGAAATTTGGAATGTTACTACAGCAAGCTGCTAATAATATGCAAGTTCAGCTTGGTTCAGTTTATATGGATCACTCTTGAGAATTGAGATCAAACCAAACCCAAACCCAGCTTAAGGTTGTGTTTGGTAAAACTAGCTGATAAGCTAGCTATCAAAGCTAGCTGATAGCTTATTAGTAATTTTTTAGCTTATAGCTTATGACTTATATAGCTGAAAAGCTAGCTTAAATGATAAAAGTGTTTGGTAAAATTAGCTGATAAGCTAGCCGGAATAAAAAATTCAACCAACTTATTTGAAAAGCTACCTAAAGAAGCTTATCAAATAAGCTCGAGCTTTTTAAAAAAGCTCGTCCTACCAAACGAGGCTTATTTAAATACAGGGAACTTATAAGCTAACTAAATAAGCTATAAGCTAGCTTATTTGTCTACCAAACATAGCCTAAATATCTTAGATATTGTCAATATGGTCAGGTTCTACGGCTGATATGACTTAGGCTTAGGTTTGTACTATATCTATGGAGACCATAGTGATACATTACTTTTCAGTCACGATTGAATTGCACACCTTCCATCTTGAACGAGTCTCTTCCTTAAGCTCCCGATAACCTGCAATACGCCAGGAGGGGTCCCGACGGAAGACTCTCCGACGCTCAAGTGAGAACTCGCCCAAAACTGTTTATACAGAATATATAAGATAATGGTGGAATTGTTTGTTGTGTAATGTGAATAAACTGTCGTCCATATATAGGATTTTGGAGCCTCCGAAGAGAGTTGTTGTTAGGGAAAAGATCCATTGGGTTCCTATTTCCCTAAATTACTATGTCTCTATCGTGACAAGAGTACTTGGGCGGCGAGTGATTCTTTCTTTCTTACTCAGATTCTTCCCCCTTTACTGTTTTAGCCCGAGGATACTTAGGTCGTAGCTCCGACCTCCCATCCTGTGTGTCTACTGTTGCCCTTCTGAGGATGTTCTAGACCTTGTCTTGAGGTCTAACGCCCTCACCTTTAGATCCCTGTTGCCCCTAGACCACCCGACCTTAATATGCATCGAGGTCGGCTACTTTACCGGGCTCTTGGAGGCCGATACCTTCAGGTTGGGTTGGTTCTGTAAGCTCGACACGTTAACCCATGACCGGGCTACTTGGTCGAGCATCCTTCTTCTTATCTTACAGGAGTTCTCCTAGCTCGGTTACAGTCGAGCTACTCTCTTAAACCGAAATGCTGAGCTGTGTTCTCGGTGCTATATAATCTAGCCCCCCATTTCAGAACGAGCTACATCGACTTGTGCTGAAATGGTTCTGATGCCTGAACTTAGCAGCCTCTTCTTTTTTTTTTTTTTTTACTTTTTACTTTCTAATTCAATGTACCAAATTATTTCTGGGAGAGCATGCGGTGCGAAAAGGAACTTTTTACCTGTTTGGATCCCGCTCTTCGCATAGTGGCCACGGGGACATGTCTCGCCAATTCCGGCTGGAGTCGGGAGGCCCCCCATAGTGGGATTTGTTTTCCATAATGTTCCTTATATAAGAACTTAAATTTTTCTTGCCACCTTCACACTCTTCGTCTACACTTTACCTTCTTCTTAAAAAATCATTTTAGAGCTTGAATTCTCACCGCTGTGTTTGAACCCTAGCTTTTGCTACTTTACTCTTCGGAAATATGGGTTCGTTCTAATTTTCTTCTTTTTTTGTACTTCCTTAGGCATCAATTATCATTTACTACATCTCATTTCCTACATTACTGGAATTGATTCCCCCGTCATGTCTTCTTCTACCTCTTCTCTTCTCAAAATCATCTCAACCTTTTGATTATCAATTTTTCGATCCTCTAGGCCACCCATATAGCCGTTGTTGCGATTTCTTCACACCCTCCTACCGTGGTGACTATCGCTGAGGGACTTCGGGCTACCCTTCCTTCTGACTTAATTCACGTCGCCAGATCTCTTCCCTAGACCAATTTGTCCGATACTGACCTAACATACTTTAAAGTTTAAACATTCTTGCAAGCTTCCTCCTACCCACAGACGGCGCCAATTTGATACTTTACGTCACTTTTCAGTCACGAGTGGATTGCACACCTTCCACCTTGAACAGTTCTCTTCCTTAAGCCCCCGATAACCTGCAATACGTCGGGAGGGGGGTCTCGGCGGAAAATCTCCGACGCTCAAGTAAGAACTCGCCCAAAACTGTGTATACATACAAAATATGTATGATAATCGTGGAATTGTGTGTTGTGTAATGTGAATAAACCTGTTGTCCATATATAGGACTTTGGAGTCTCCAATCCGAAGAGAGTTCTTGTTAGGGAAGAGATCCATTGGGACCCTACTTCCGTAACTTACCACGTGCAAGTCTTTGGGTGAATGATTCTTTCTTTCTTACTTAGATTCTTCCCCCTTTACTATTTTAGGCCGAAGATACTTAGGTCGTAGCTCTGACCTCCTATCCTGTTTGTTATGGCCCACAGAAGACGTCCTAGAACTTGTCTTGAGGTCTAACCGACTCACCTTTAGATCCCTCTTGGCCCCAGACCACCCGACCTTGATATACTTGGAGGCGCCTGGCGGTCGATACCTCCAGGTCGAGTTTATTCTGTAAACTCGGCACCTTAAACCCTTGTCCGGGCTACTTGGCCGAGCATCCTTCTTCTTACCTTACGGGAGTTCTCCTAGCTCGGTTACTGCCGAGCTACTCTCTCAGACCAAAATGAAGAGCTGCGTTCTGGGTGCTATATCACATAGTACCTATTGTGGTTGTTAAAGCATCACCTACAGCAATTAATTAATGCCTTGTTGTGGCCTTTACAGAGGCGATAGGCCACTGTTAACTCTGATAGTTTGGTGGACATTGTTAACTATAAGATTGCCTTGTCATCGCCTATCGCACTGATAGCTATAGTACTTATATGCTATTCTTTCGTATATCTAGACAAACAGTGTTTTTTAATTCTTTTGGCTACATCCTCTGTTATCTTTTAATTTCTATTTATTTAAATAATGGCAAGGATACTAACCATTCATTCCTTTCAACCATCTTTCTACTTTATCAAATGGCTCTGGATTTTAAGCTTGAAGCTAGATTTTTGGGGCCCCAATCCATCTTTAGGACAATAAATGTTATATACAGTTTTCACTCCAATCAATCAACTGATGAACTCTACAGGTACGGCGTCACCCCTGACATCATTGCCGTGAACTCCTTGCTGAGCGCGATGTGCCGAGAGGACAAGCAGACCACCAAGGGCCTCGGTTTCCTCGACCGTATAAAGTCCAAAATACCCCCGGACGCGGACTCGTACGCCATCCTCCTCGAGGGCTGGGAGAAGGAGGGCGACGTAGCCCGGGCCCGACACACCTTCGGCGAGATGGTCATTCGGGTCGGGTGGGGCCCACAGCACGCGCTCGCTTACGACGCCTTCCTCAGCACCCTCATCCGCGGGCCCAACACTGACGAGGCCATCAACTTCCTCCGCCTGATCGTTAACAAGAACTGCTTGCCGGGCCCACGCTTCCTTTCCAACGCACTCGACGTCTTCACGAGCTGTAAATGCAACGATTCGGCCCGCGCCCTCGTCTTGTGGGACCTGATGGTCGGCGCTGGGCATGTCCCTAATCTCGCGAATTACAACGCGATCATCGGCTTGCTCGCGAACAACAACGACGCGGAAAACGCGTTCCGCCTTCTCGACAGCATGGTCTTTCACGGGGCCTTTCCCTACGACCTGACTTATAACATGATCTTTGAGTGCCTGATCAGGAACAAGAAGGCGCGGGAGGTGGCGAGGTTTTTTACGGAGATGGTAAAAAATGAGAGGGCCCCAACGCCGGAGAATATGACAGCTGGCATTAGGGTTATGTTTGAAGGAGACGATCCGGAGACGGCGGTTGAGATGTGGAAGTATATGGTGAGTAATAACGTCAAGCCGCGCGATGATGCGGCAAACGAGGTGCTTTTGGGTTTTTGTACCTTGGGGAGGATGACGGATGTGAGGAGGTTTGTGGATAAAATGATTGCTGAGGGAATTATAATATATGAGTCGACCATGGTGAAGGTGAAGGCGGCTTGCTACGCGGGAAAGAACATGCGTGAGGTGTACGAGCACATCTCGAAGAAGTGGAAATCTGCGTGCGTTGAGGCTCCTTGAGTTTTAGACCAGGATGCGGGAATTTTTTTCCTGTGATATTGGTAATCCTTTTATCGTAATGCGTTTCCCCTTTGGATGTGCAGTGAAAACTTTTTGCCATGCTGTTCGTTCTATATTTTGCTGATGGTGCTTGTTTGGGTTGTCTCGTTTATCTATATATTATTATGTTATAATTATTTTTATTATTAAGTTTTTTCTGTTAGTGCTAATTGAGCTAAACTTCTCAAGTTTCTAAGAAAAGATTATTGGTGAGGGAATGAAGGGGTGGAGGAAAAGGAGCTGGGATGGTTCCTTTAGTCTCCGTCTGTTTCACAATCATCCCTTCATCTTCTCTTTCTGTTGCTTTGCTTTCTTTATCAAGAAAATCTATGGTTTCTTTTATTTTCGTTTAAAGTGTTATTTTTCTTATTTCTGGAACAAGTGTTTTAGCCTCATTGTGGGTACGAAAGCAGTGTTGTCCTGTCTGTTCAATGGATTGGGCAAAGGTGGATAGATGAAACATTGTTCCTATTGAGCTTCAAGAAGGTGGATAGATGAAACCTAATGTACAATGGGTTCTTTTGAATAATGGATTTTTTACCTTGTGTGATATCGAGCTATCATATTCTTTTAGTTATTCACCAACTCTTTCTTAGTTTTCTTTTCTTTTGATCTCTCCCCCTCTCTCTCTCTGTTGCTTGGCAGTTCTTGCACCGGACACTCACTTTTTTTCCTTATTAAGAGAATTTACCTAGATAGGCTAAGTTGTTTCTTATTTAAACTTAAAAAAATGGTGCAAATAGCCACTCCTAGTGAGTAAGTGATGAGAAACTAGAACATACAAGCCATGGGAAAAGCATTTTTCTTCGGATGCTGGAATTAGTACCAAAGAGTATCAACTATCATGGCTTTGATCAAGTTGCATGTCAGCTGAATATTTAGCAGCTCGCATTGTGTTATTTGAACCATGGACTAGTTTGGGAAGCGAAAATCCAGCTGATGGTTGCATTGTGTTATTTGAACCATTGACTAGTTTGGGAAGCGAAAATCCAGCTGATGGTTGCATTGTAGCTCCAAAGTTCCCTTTCAGGAATATGATTCGCCATTCCCTTTTCCAGAAATTATTATGGGATAGGTCATTATTTATGGTTATTTCTGAGATGGGCTTCCGAGCATCCACATCTTGTTTACTCAGCCAAATCTTTTTCTATTTGCAGGATGAATTATTGTGGCCTTTTTGGATTTGAATTACTGTTTTCGGCAATAGCTTCTGCTCATGAACAAGATGACTGATGCATAACATGCAGTAAGAATCATCTGTGAAGGATCGATCTATCATATAGAGGATGGGCGCTGGCGGTACAACTCTTTCGTGTTATTTTTCCATAGGTAACAAACATCAATAGCTTAGATATGAATTATTCAACTTTCCTTTATCCTTGCGCAGTAGGAATCATGAGAGTATATGATTTTATCAATACGAGTTTTGGCTTTTTGAGGCAAATAACGCTCTTCAGGACATGTCCGGACATTTTCTGCCAATGCTAGTAGATTAGCGAGGTTGGAAACATGCATCATTTTCATCATGGATTTGTCTCATTCGTGCTGGAGAATAGTAATTAGAATATTTTAGATTGTGGAGTGTATGAGATTAAAATGCGACCTCTGAAATTAATTTCGTATATTAAAAGTAAAATAAAATGAATATGATTGGTAATCGTAGTTTGATATATATGAGAGGGGGTGTAGTTGGCGAATATTTCTTTTTGAAAAATTGTAAGTTTCACAAGCAACCGCATACATACACTGGCAAGATGAATTATTGCAGGATGCATGTATAATTACAACTTCAGTATATCCTTATTTTTTCGCAAAATTGTCGAGTCTTCCGTGAGAGGGTCCTGCTCTGTCTCCTGTGTCAACTTTCATTTCTTGGCAATATTTTTTGATAATCATAAATTCAACATGGTCAAAATTAATAATATATATCTGTTTTATTTTACCTTGGCCCTCCATCTTTTCTGCAAATAAAATGGGCTATCTAAAGCTTACTATTCCCCCGAGTCACGGATATTATAAAAAAAAATTGCAGAAAAGTTCCTCCCTACAGGTTCCTAGTTGTGTCCAAGCTTAAAAAAAAAAGCTTTACCCACACTGAGAAAACATAAACAAACCATCAAGAATATTAAAGAAGATAGCTTTATAGCTAGGAAAAGAAGAAGATACCAAAACCTTCCCCACCAATTGCACCCAAGCACCCATCAACAACACCCTTTTCTCATCTCATCCTTTGAAATCCCCATAACCTTCAAAACATAAAAAAAAGAAATCTATGTATCTCACCATTATTCCCTTCTTAGTGCTCTCTAACCACCACCAATGCCAAAGCAAGTCTTTGACCCCCGCCACCACACTAACCCCATAATCTGGTGTGCCGCCATCATATGCGCCATCCTGGCAGTGGCCGTCATCTTCGCTGGCATCATAATCTTCATAAGCTACCTCTCAATCAAGCCCAAGGTGCCAAAGGTCACAATCTCCCGGGCCCAACTCAACACCATATACTTCGACCAGGCAGGACTACTCACTCTCCAGCTCACAGTCATTGTCCAGGCCCAAAACGACAATGCCAAGGCCCATGCGAATTTCTATGACATGAAGTATACTCTCAGCCTCCGGGGAAGGAGGTTAGCGTACTTGGTGGCCGGCCCGTTTAATGTGGGCCCGAATAGCACTTGGGAGCTGAGTTTCGTGCCCCAGCCGAGCTCGATCCCTTTGAGCCCGGAGGAGGCGGATGACATCAACTTGTCATTGAGGAAAGGGGTTTTGACTTTTGAGGTGCAAGGGACGACGAGGACTCGGTGGAAAGTAGGAGTTATTGGGTGGATTAAGTTTGGGTTGCATTTGCATTGTTGGCTTCATTTGCCGGTGGATATGACCGTAATCAACCCAAATTGTAGTCCGAGGTCTAAATATGGTTAAGGTATAAGGATAATTTTTATTTTTTTTTCATTTCTTTCTATTTTTTTTTTCTCTTTTTGGGCCAAAATATCTTTACACAATGAGAAATCGGTCAATAAACTATTTGTTCCTGACATGTGGATGTGGCTGAATTATACCTTTTTATGAATTGGGATGGATGAATTGATTCACTTCTTTAGATGATCATGAAAAATTATCAAGAAGTGTAAGACAAGGTTTGGCAAAGCCCAAGAGACGTGAGGAGGAAATTAAAGCTGTAGAAACGGGCTTAAGCTCGCGGGCCGATCCACCCCTCGGGTTGTACCGAGATTTTCTAGGCCCGCTCAATGGGTCTGGTTGTCCCGTCAATTATTATAATAAATAAAATATAAAAAGACAAATAACGTCATTCGGTCCTCAACTCATTCTCATATCATATCATATCATATCGTGCGCCTCCACATGCAAGCCTAATCGCCCAAACTCCCGTTCACCATAAATTACCTCCGTTCGTTCACCGTCCTACGCCCTCACCGTGCGAGCGCCATCGGACACTCAGTCATGAGATTACCGATAAGCGGCAACTTTGCCGATTTCAGACGGCGTGGGCCCTCTTGAGCTTGCAGACAACGTACCTCCGTGCGCCCTCTGCCCTCGCCTTGGGTTCTTCACCGATTCGTATGCTTATTTTTTATTTTTTTATTTGTTTATCATATATGAATTTGGATATTTTTTAATTTGTTTATCATATCTTTCGTCGATTGAAAATTGTGGATTTTGTTCGCATTTGGCTGAAATTATAGCAGGCTTTTGTTAAAAAAAATAAAATAAAAACCAGGCTGGCTTGGCTCGCCAAAGCCACGGCCTCAGAGACGGGTTGAGTCTGCATTTCGAGGCTTGCCAGAATGGCGGGCTAGCCCGGCCCACTAATTGGCGAGCATTGATGTGCTATGTATCGATTCGTTCCGTCGGCCAGTTTTGACATCTCTAGTGGCAATGGAAGTAAATAGCAGTTACGTTACCAAATTTCATATTTTTGTACTTAATATTGTGGACTATATATACAACATTTAGTCTTCAAAATGGCTCATTTGTTTCCTGGGATGAAAATGGATTAAATTAATGAGAAAATTACTCCTCGGAGATCATTTTCTTTTATTTGTTACTTAACGAAACTAATTATTTATTTACAAACTAATTATTTAATCAAAAGCCAATCTCTTTATTTATTTTTATTACTTCAATTTCTTCTATTTTGGGAAGAAGATTATGCCCTGAACAATATTCCAATTTTGTTGAAGATGAAGATCTCGACATATTTGAATTTGATCTCACCGACTGTTTTGCTCAGACACTAACGTAAATACAAATATATATAGTATATTAACAACAAATATACTTATGAATTTGGATAAGGTATATAAAACATAGATAAACGTGTTCTTAGTTGTACATATACATAACAGCTAATGCACTCCAAATATTTTGGCAGCCAAAGCTTCATCATTTGCGTAAAATCATAATCCAAAGAAAAGAAATCCTACACAGGCAACCATGATATCAACGTAACAGGGTATGCTCATAACTAATGTGAGCAATGTTGTGTAATTCATTCATGTCCATCTTTCGCACGAACACGATGGTTTCGACTGTCACGACCCGACCTACTGCTACTGTCTCTGCCATATTTGTGATATGACTCAGACTCGTACTTTCTTGACCTCATATCATTTCTATAATCACCTTCTTCCATGGAGTCCTTCCGTTTGGACCTTTTACTATCACGGTGCCGATCTTGTGCAGTTTCAATTGCCTTTGGACGAAAATGTCCGGTTCTTCCCTCAAACTTGTCCTGTACCCACCTTGAATGTCTATCATCCTCGGCACCCCATCCAGTATCAGCTGCTCTCTGAATTGGGAAAAAAGGGAATCAATGAGTAACTGCGGAAGGAGAAAACTCCGCTGGCAAACTAAAACGGAAACACACACACACACACTTATATCGATATATAAAACACCATAAAACTTAAAAAAAAAAAATGTCATAATTCATTTGCTAAAAATGTTTATATATTCATTACTCCCACAAGCAGCACATGGCGGGGTCGCAAGTGATGGATAAGGAAGGAAAGTAAAATTGTACACAATAAAGAAAAACTGAAAACTATGAACAAAAAACCCAAGCTGGGTTGCCAGATATACAGGTCACGGGTGAAAACCTCATACTTTGATCTGTTTCTTTCCTTGTTTAACATATTCTAGTGTGCACATTCTAAGGCAAGATTAGGGGAAATTACACCTTTTGGATCTTATTAAAGGAAGGTTTTCTTCTGTAATGGATGGGTTGAGAATTCAGATGCTTTTTTTAAAAAAAAAATTCTTGTTACCTACATTAAATCATGGGCATCAGAGCTACCGAAACCCACATGAGTAACACCCATCACAACCTTTGCGCAAACATGTGACGTAACTCAATANGAACGAAACAAAACAAACAAAAAAAAAATAAAAAAAATAAACACAAAAAAAAGACTAAAACAGTAAAACCACACACACCTAATATACAAACTAGAGTAAAACCTCCCCTAAACTTAGCAAACGAGCCACACGATCACCATAGCTGACAACCGAGTCCCATCCACAACCAAGAACCTCAAACGAGCAGCAAAACTAGACTTCAAATTCGAAAACTGCGGCAACTCAAACCGCCTAGACGAGTTTTCATCCAGATCTGAACCCAAATAGCTTCGGGATTGGGAAAAAGAGGGGAAACACCAAGAAAATGCCGGAGGACTCGAGACAAGAGAGCAAGGAAAGACCACGCGGCTCGCAACCGAGCAGTCCGGCCCAACAGACCCGACCCCCTAGAAGTTGACCAAACACGCGCCTCCATGGTGCTGAAAAGGAGCTCATGAGACCGGGACGCCAACATTTCGGTGGGCTCCCGCGGCTGGGCGGAAAACGGCCGGCGACCCCTCCGGAGTCAAGAGGATAGGCTTGGCGACGAGAACCACGGCCAGCCACGATCCCACAGGACTCCGGGAGGGGCGGAGAAGAAGGCCCTAGCCGCGACTCAGTCAGAATAGCTTGGATTGCGCGAGATTCACTCGCCGGAAGAGGGGGGGCGCCGATTTGCGGTAACTCAATAGTTGTTCAAATAAATTATGTCGGATATAATTATTCTTAACTTCCACCACACTTGGCTAGTAAGCACCACATCAAACGTATTATACCATAAAATTCAACAAACTTCTTTGCCAGTGGAAAATTCAATGACTTTCGGTAGGTCCTATGGAAAACTCAACGACTTTCACTAGGTCCTAGACTCCTAGGAAACTTTTTATCTCCTTCCCTCAAATAAAGCAAATGATATCATGTTAGCTTCACTACCATATACACCCCAACAGTTGTCTCCAAGTTTCTCACCTCAACCAATTCAATATTCAATTTAACCTTCAGCTACTAAAAAATTAATTGAACGCATCAGCTTTAAATGTAATTAAGATCAATAATAAAAAAATAAAATATTTAAGGAAAGATATCAGAAGGAAATTATTGGCTACTTCAAAAGAGGTTAATGTGTGTGACTTGAGAACATTATCCTAATATTGAGACGAAAATTATGAGATAAGGAGGCAACTGGAAAGTACAAAGTGAGAATGGCATAGAGTAATATTGTTATGCCGAGGCATTCATAAGGGTAACGCCTTAGTCCTTCATGTACTTGATTAGAACTTAGTAGTGAACAGTGCTAAACGAACCTATATTTTGTTTCCAGGGACCTGCATAAAATCTGTATTCCAATAATTTTAAGCAAAAAAAGGAAACACAAAAAGTTACACCAAACTTCTTTAATTTTTTTATGAACATATTGTAAATATATGTATTTTTTGAAATAAGTCCCACTAATTAAGGGAAATTTCACGAAAAATCTCTTCAATTTAGTGATAGGAAAGCTTTAACTAATTCCTATACAGTAACAAGAAAATACTCCCTTCTTGACTATGTTTAAAGCAGCTATCAAACTCCAAACAACGAAAAATTCTTCTACTAACTCTCCCCACGATATATTGATCCACAGAGTCATTACTTATCAGCACTGTTCAGGCTACTATAATACCTAGGATGACGGAATAAAACCAAGTGAAAAAAGGTCCTAGTGTTGCAGAATGCAACTTGTTCAAACAGGTTTATTTTCAGTGGATCCGTAACAGATAATGAAGCACATTCAAGTCAAGTAACTACGAACTCTATCATCAACGACTCAGGGCACTACAAGAGAATTCAGTTGCTTAATTAAGGGGTTCGCTAATTAGAACCCATTTCTACCCCATTGTCTTTTTTAGTGGAATTTCAAACTAAGGAACACATCAGCCACGGTGCATAAACAGATAAGCAAATAACTTGATGGATCAATTTACAGGACTGTCTTTCAGTTGGACAATTTAAAGACTGTCTTTCAGTTGGAAGTCATATGTAATTCAAATTTCTTGAAAATTTTGAGAGACCAGAAGCATACAAGCACACAGTATACCCATAGAGGAAGAAGCACAGGAACATAAAAATTCCCAAGGAAAAGAAGAATCATAAGTATTAATGAAAATATAAATTATAAACTACGGGTAGTTTTTGTGTGTTGAGAGATTTAACAGAGTAAGAATTTACTGAAGTGAAGATATTGTACACAGACCTGCTGATCATGAGAAAATCTGCAGCTATCTCCACGGTTACATTCCCCTTTCTGAAAAGCACGGCAGACGCCTCTTTCCTCCCTCTTCCTCTGCTTAGTCTCCTCGTCCTCTTCTTCTAGCTTTTTGTATTTGCTCACATGATCAACCCTAATTATTCGGCCCAAAATTTGAGCACCATTTAAATTGTCTGCATTCACCCAAGGAAACAACAAAACAGACAGGAAATATTTATTTGCTACGATAGTAACTTGAAGAACAAAATTGGCTTTGAGGCAAAGAAACCAACCGACTGCGAGATTTGTGCTTCTTTGGTCCTCATAAGCAATAAAGCAAAATCCTTTGGATTTCCCAGTACCTTTGTCTCTGATTAAGTTAACATCAACAATCTCTCCATACCTACATGTGAAATTAGGATATATATATATATATATCAACTCCCGACAACAACAGGTTACAATATAAAGAGAATAAAAAAAGGCAGAAAACTTACTGAGCAAAGACAGCAAGCAGATCGCCTTCGGTTAGGTCAAATGGAATGCCGCCAACGTAAACATAAGCCGAATCTTTGTACTTAGCATGCCATGATGCCTCTTCTGATATTCCCAGGCTAGCTTCTTTCTTGTTAATATTCTGGATGCGCTTCACCAGCGTCAAAGGATTCATGGAAACTCGACCGAGTAATTCAAAGTCTCGATAGCTAATAAATTTCAGTAGAATTAGGGTTGTAAACAAATAGAATCAAAGCGAATACTAAGATATTCAGTTTAGATTTGTTAAAATATTCGAGGATTCGAATTCGTATTCAATTTGTAAACGAACTCATTTTTTTATTCGTATTCGATTCGTTTAGAACCTTCGAACATATTCGATTAGATTCGATTCGAAATTCGTTTTCAGAAAAATAATATAATTAAACAAAAATTATAATTACAAAAATATTGTTTATGTTTTTCCTATCCAATGAGTGTGACAATGCATTGAACTATGAATAAAACATGAATAAGCATCCATAATTCATCCTAAAAATATGAACACGATAGTTCTTACCTTTAAAGTTCAAATACAATCCTTACACACGATTAAAAAAACAACAACTGTTCCAAATTAACTCAAACAAAGCATTCATCATCAACTTTACTTCAACCTCATCAACTTAGCAATTCAATGGCATTTGATTTCCGAATGGCATTTTAATTTCCGAATTGAAGAACCTCCTGATCTTTGAATGGCATTTCAATTTCCGAATGCTCAGTGTTGTTACTCTCAGGATAAAAACAACAAAAACACCCACAGTTAATACTCACCTCTCTGTATGCACTTCCTAAGTTCAAAAATTTGGGTTAAATGCAATTTCAAGTCAACACGATGTCTGTGGGTAAAAGGATTTGTCCCTTAAAATCATGGGTCAAATCTCCTGCTAAATTAGGGCTACCGGCCACCAATTTCCAGATAATTACACGGCAAAATGATAATTTTTTCAGTCGAATGCAGCAAGCTCACCGATATTGTTCATGCAATAAACTTCTGCCTGCTTTGGGAGAAAGAGATGAACTGAATAGGACCCGGACAAAGCCCCAGAGGGTACCTACTTTACTAATCTTGGGAGTTTGGGTGGGGGGTTTCCATTTTCCAAAACCAAGTTTAGCCGAGAACAGAGTTGTAAGCACCCTCTATTTAAACTTTGAAAACGTCTGATTTTCATAAAGAATTTCGAACTTTTCGAAATTAATTTAACTTTTTAAAACTAGACTTAGGGTACTTACTAAAAACTACTGGGATCATGTGCACACTTTTACCGTTGGATACGTGGACTTGCTTCACTAGCCAACAGATGCCCACTCTCAGGCAATGCCCACTCTCATGCAAAACTCATAAACATACATCAATTAAAAATTACCTTGCGGTTATTAAGAACATAACATAGCATATAAATTATAAATTATCAATTATAAATTACCTTACTGATTGAACTGCTAGAAAGAACATGCGTCTGAATGAGGTCTCGACGCCTCTTTAATCTACAGTTTAATATTTTTTATCTTATTATTTAAGGCGACGAGAATCAAATAAATAAGACAAGCAAGGACGACCACGGGCAAATAAACATATAAGGCAGATAAAACACACAGAGAAGAGAAGGCAATTAGAACAGATAAAACTTCTACTGAAACTTCTCGATTTATCTAGACTCGCCTAGAGTCTCGAATTTCTGACTTAAGCTTGAAAAATCTAAACCAAGGCTAGATGGCCTCTCTTTTTCTTTCTTTTCTTAGCCTCAAAATCGAACACTTTAAGGCCAAAGAAACTGAACTTAACCTCTGAAACTCAACACACATACAGCACATAAAAACATACAATTAAAGCTCAGCAACAAGGTTCAAGTACGGCCAAACATACACCAAAGAAACAAGGCAACAAGCACACAATTCTTGCTCTTTCTTTTCTAACACTTTAGACATGCTTTAAAACTGAAACTTGACTGGAATTTCACACCTCAAACTCATGTTTTTCAGCCTACTAACCCCATGAGCAGCGGTTTATAAAATTAATAAGACAAGGCCAAGAACATTTCAGATACAATCTCTCTTTCTCTTCCTTTTTCTTCCTCAAAATCAAACCAAACTTGAGGCTAAATAAAACTGAAACAAAGCTCTAAAAATTTACACATATACAGCATCTAAAGGTTCTCAAAACAGATTCCAACATGAAAACAAGGCAAAAACCACTCATATCATGCTCTCTTTTCTTATTCTGTTTTCTCCAATTCAACACAACTAATGGAGGCCATCAAAACTGAAACTTAACCTCTATAATACATACTTTCAGCATGTAAAGAACCTCATCAAAACTCAGCAAAAGGCAATAACACGGCTCCTCAATTCTTCAATAAGACGAGGCAAAACGGTACATAGAAACATACTTCTCCTATGCTCACATTTTACCACCAATCAACATGTATATTAACCCAACGAAGGCTGCAACTTAGCACGAATTTAACACCACAAACTCATGACAGGAACTCTGAAATTTGCAACAAACAGGGGCTGAACCTTTCAACAAAAACAAAGCATAAAAAATCACACCAACATGCCTTCTCATGCTGCCTTCTCTATTAAATTTTAAGCATGCTTTTACGTACTCAAAAACCTAAACCAAACACATATAATCAACACATAAACTCGGCCAAATAATAGGTATAGTCTCAGCTAAACAACATACCTTTCTTCGGTATTTCCGAAATGGAAGAAAAAAAAGAGCTCGGGTGGATGAGCGAGGCTCGGTTGGCTGGGAGTGCTGCGAAGCTCTCGGTTTGGGCTAGCTTGCGGGCAGGTGGCACAAAGGCCTTGGATGCGGTTCTCGGTCTCTCGGCTCGCTCTCGGTGTGATGCTTCTGCCGCGGACAGAAGGTGCTCGCCGGAAAATCGGGAGCTTCGGTCGTCAGTAGCTCGCGGGTCTAGGGCTGAAAGGCTCGGCTTCGAGGAAGATGGCGGTGGCTGAAAATTGGGAGCTTGAAGATGAAGAACGGGATTGCTACTTGGAATGAATTTGAAGCTGAAATGAGCTCCTTGGGCCGAGAAAAAATGAAGATTTGATTTAAAAAGAGAGTTGGGCCGGGCGAAAAATTGTTTACTTTGGCCAAATAAAATAAAATGGTGGTTGCTTGGGCCCAAAAATCAAAGTGTTTGGGCTTAAAAAGAGAACACTAGGACCAAAATAACATACAAACATATATACAAATACATAGGGCAGAAATACAAAGATTTGGACAATTCTTATATATACTAGCACACAAAAGATACACCAAGGCAATTTACATCATTTAGGTAATTGAAAAATAACACTTGGCATAAAATTAAATATTCACATTGGCACATAATGAAATAATCACTTAGGCAAATAGTCAAATAATCACTTAAGCAAATAATTCACAAAATACACTTAACTTTTAGGACAATTAAATCAAACAAAAGCAAACAAGACGAAATAAAACAACAAGATTTAAATTTAGTTGAGCGATGCAAATGCTAATGAACATGCTTTTATTAAAAAGAAACGAGGCGTTACGCGACTGCAATAAAACTGAGGAGCGTTGACGAGGACTGGCGGGCAGCGGGCAGACTGAGGATTGTGGACAAGTACCGGCAGACTGCGGGAGAATTGAGGACTGCGGTAGAGGACCAGCGGTAAATTGAAGGAGCACGGACGAGGAGCTCGAATTGGCGGGTCGTAGTCCACAGACGATTACTACCGACTGACGAGGAGCGCGAACCACCAGAGGTCGCAACTGGAATTTTGAGCCGAGGTACGGCGGTGGACCGGTGGTAAGCTAGGAAATTTTCTAGGATGCCAAACGATGGAATAGTGAAGATGAGGAGACGACTGACGGAAGAGGGGTTTCTGATGAACAAGTCGCTGGCGTATGAACAAAGAATCATGACAATTGTGAATTTGTGATGTTTTTACTTTTTATGTCATAAAATAAAAAATATTAGGAATATAACAATATATATATATGTAAATAAAATTTATACTATATATTATTTAGAAAATTTATATAATTATTGTTAACAAATCGAATATTCAATAATTCGAATCGAATATATACAAATTCTGATTCAGATTCGTTTAACTTTCGAATATAAAACATTATTTATATTCGAATTTAAATTCGAGTATTTCGAATTTGAATCACGAATATTGAATCGAGTAAAAAGAATTTTCTTTGTTTACAAGCCTAATTAGAATAACTAGTTTGTGGAACCCTACCCACTTCTCATAACAAAACAAAGCTCACGACTATTTGAATATTAGACAAGTACTCATAAATTAGAAGAAAAAATTAGTATCCAACTACTATATTATGAAGTGGACCAACGGTATCCTAACCCCTCTTTTTAACAGTGAATTTTGTTTTAGCCATTTTGGAATGACATACATAAATTTTAGCCATATTATGTAAAAATATGCTTTTTAGTCATTTTTGCACCTAAAAGTATACAAATACCCTTACTATCTAATTTTTATTAAAAAAAATAAATGAACCATAAATCATTTTGTGGATCCCAAAAATAGTTTATGGAACCAGAAATCGTTTATGGAATCCTAGAAATGGTTTCTCGTTCCATAAACAATTTTGGGATCCCAAAAATAGTGCCCTAGAAACGATTTATGGTCCCAATAATTATTTATAGTCCAAAAAATCGTGAAAAAATTGGATTGGGTGTAATTGTGTAACTTTACATGTCAAAACTAAATTTCATCTTTTTACAAAAACATGGCTAAAATTCATGTTTTGTAAATTTATATGGTCAATTAGTGGTATTAACACTATTTTTAATTTAACTAGTAGTAAAGTCCATGATACATGTGAATATTTTTGGCCAATTAAGTTTAGTAGGATAAACTAATTGATTTATTAAACGTATTAATACAAATATAAAATAAAATGTCGAATAAATGACCTCCTAATGTATTTTTTCTTTTTGTCGCAGATTAAGGGTATGACACCATAGCTTTTGAATGCAATGAGAAAAATTTAGGATGAAATCAATTTAGATTTGAATTTCATGAAGAAACAAAAAACTATAGATTCATATTTCACTAAATTGTCTTAATTATATTTGTAATTTTAGAGAATTAGTAATTTATGATTTTGATGGGACTATATATTTATAAATTGGTTTTTCTAAAAATTATTATCTTATTATTTTATTAAAATATACATTGTCCCAAGTTAGGACCGGGAGAAAATATTATTTTAAAAAGATTATTAATTTATAGAGATAAAACTGAGGATGTTAAATTACTTAATGATAAATTGTTGTAGCATTAGCTTTAGATACGCAATTTTAGATCAAAGAAGTAGCATTTTACATAGTTTTGTACCATAAGCCCTAGTGTACAATTATTATTCAATTCATTTTTTCTTTAATGAAATTCTCTCTTTTTTTCTTCCTGATTCTCTAAAACTTCTATCGCTTGTGATAATTTTTTCTTATCCTTAAGCTAATATAAAAACAAGAAACCATAATATGTATTGAAGATCCAAAGGTACAGCATGTCAACATAAGGAGGTGAATATCCAAAACAATTTTGTAAAGGATNTATAAAAAATTAAACACAAGCCGCTGATACCGTAATTAAGAACTTGTTATCATGTTTTGGAGTCTCGATGAGTATAGCAAATGACTAAAAAAATTAATTGAGAATTTTTAATTTAATTTGTTTTTTTTTTTTTCTTTTTGGACAAAACCCTCAAATCAAGATCTCTTTTCACTCCACCTTTCCACCCACCACTCTCTTGTGTCTCAGTCCCCCGCTCCTAACTAAACACACACATACCCGCATGTGTGCGTGTGAGGGTGAACATTTGTTGTAATAAATGGCGCAATACTAGTAAAGTTCATCTCCTATATTCCCTCACTCATCCCCAAATCCCCACTTGCAATTTGCTTTTCCATACTCTTCTAATTTTCTCGCCTGTCAATTTCTGAAAGCTACTGCTTTTCTATTTACTGCCCCCATTTAATGAATTAGTTTATTTCTTGTCCTTTTTTAACCTCTTATTTTTAATGTTTTTGCAGAGCCCTCTGTTTTATTTGACCTTTCACTTCATCTCTTCAGATTTTTTTTCACATTTGTTTTCTTTTCTCCACCATGTTTTTCGGCACAGTATTTAGTTGAGGCAGGGCTTGAAGGCATTTGAAGCTTTTCTTGCTGGGCTCATTTTTTCGACTTAAAGAGGTTTTTTTTTTTCCTTTAATCCCTTCAATTGGCGCTGCTACAAGTGATTAGAAAGGTAAATGCACTTGTGCTTCAATGTTCTGTTCTGTCATTCAATAAATTCCAAGATTTTAGTGAATAAGATTCAATTTTGAGCCGGCCCTCTTAATGTTTTTGTTTCCTTAATTCCATTTTGTTAAATTTATTTGTTAATGGTAAAATATGTCCCTCAGAAATTTTTTCCCCATTGTTTTTTTTGGACTACAAAGATGCAAACTTTGTTCACACACACACACACCCCTATTGAAGTGTGTGTGTGTGTGTGTTTTCTTATTTGACCTCATTTTTGATTTGTAATTGATATGGATAGTGTTCTTCATAATTTATCTTTCATGCATAGTCAAAAGTAAAATTGAAATTAAATGTGTGCAGAGTGAGCTGACATGTAATAGAAACAAACCCTCTTTTTGACTCATATCATTATTACTGTTTTTAAGAATAAAAGAACATGAACAAAAAGGCTTTGCTTCATTACGTCAAAGGTACCTTTTAAGCACCTTTTTTGCTTTGGTTCACAAAAATTTTGCCTTTCACAAATGGAATACAATGTATGCACTCGATTTATAACTCAAACCGACTCGTTTATGTACTCTCCGATTTTTTAGATTCTTCTGAGCCACCGAGTCAACTCATCAGGATTGATTTATATTGTAACTATTTTATTTATCATTAAACTAAGATTTTATATATTTTACTTTTTACTTGGTTTTCGAGCTCTGGGTTTAGAGATTTGGACCCTAGAGCGACGTTACGGGTGTAAATGGGAGCAAGTGTCCGCAATTTTCGTTATTCTCATAATCTAATGTGTGTGTATGTTTTTAAATGTATTCAGTTCTTCTTTATTTATTTACGTTCTATCTGGGCATTTTGCTATTATTACCATATTGTTTTTCCGCAATTTTGTGCCTTTCACACAAAGTCAATAGATTAGCAGAAATTGCCAAAAAAAAAAATGTTACCTGAGCAAGAATTTTGGGCTGGTAATTTTCATATTTTCTAGTAATTTTCCAAGAAATATCTTGTTATATATTCTGCATTTGTTAATTTGGAGTGTGCATTCTAATTAATGATCTGTAGTTCTATTAATGATTGAATCTAAGTATCAATTATTTATTTTTGCAGGAGAAAATCTGTAAAATAAAAAAAACCGAGGAAATGATGATGCGAAGGAAGTTAGCTTGTTGCGCGAGGGACATGAGGGAGATTAGCATCGACTTTGACGAGCAAGAGAGTAAATTTCTTTCTCTGAAATTTTTATTTTCAACGAACAATAAATCATGTGTTTATTGGATGGATTATCATACAAAATCACACAGAGTTAACAAACAGGAAAGAAGATATAAGGTAAAAATTTAGCTGCTTGACATTTTCTTCTTTTCAAATCATGTGTGTGTGTGTGTGCTGCTTTACTTTAATGTGCAATTGACTTATATTTGTTTATATCCAAGAACCGTTGGTAATGTACCTAATGTTACCCACCACA